TTGTTCCTGGCAGCACCAATTACTTCAAGAGGATGATGGGCATTGAAAAAGCTCTTTATGGAGCTTGCTTTTAATGTGGCAAGACTAGCCATTTGGGCAAGAAGTTACTCTTCCTGAACTGCTTGACAATGTGCCATATAGAGTGAACATGAGAACCTACAGGAAAATGACTGCTGAACTTTGCCAAAACAAGATGAGGCAGTCCTTCAGAGTTCCTGCTTCATGAAAGAGTCTGCCAGACATTTGGCAGGACACAGGGGAAAATGACTGACAAACTGCCAATAAAGGCAGGAGAGTTTCAAGTTTTCTGCTTCACTGAGAAATCTGTCAGACACTCTAGGTCTATAGGCTGAAGATGGATGCCCCAATGTTACAGAAGAACTTTGGGTGACTGTCCAGAGAGCAAGATGTTTCTGTCATTTATAGAGTTTTGGAAGTTGCTTGCAATGTACTTCCTGTTTACTTAGGTAATATTATATTCTTCTGAAGTCTTTGATGGAGTTGAAGACTAGGTAGTTATAAATATAGCTTTCCTTAGTTATAATAAAAAGATAAATTAGATATAAAACTTTAGACTTGCTAAGATAGAATAGATAATAGAGTATTTTCTTTAATTTTACCAAATACAAATAGACTAAATATTATAACTATAATTCTTGCTTGATACCTGTTTTGTTATATGTAATTTTACAATGTTAAGTTAAAACTTTCCTTTTTAATTAGACAGAAAAGGGGAGGTAAAGTGGGATGCCCTACTGTATTCTGTAAATGTTTTATTACCATTGGTTAATAAAGAAGCTGATTTGGCCAATAGCGAGGCAGAATAGAGCCAGGTGGGAAATCTAAGCAGAGCCACAGGGAGAAAGAAGGTGGAGTCTGGGAGATGCCAGCAGCTGCCTGAGAAACAAGATGTGCAGTAACAAGTCATGAGCCTCACGGCAAAATAAAGAATAATAGAAATGGGTTAATAATTTAAGTTGTAAGAGCTAGTTAATAATAAGCCTGAGCTAATGGACCAAACAGTTTGTAATTAATATGAAGCCTCAGAGTGGTTATTCGGGAACTGGCATTCAGGAGAGAAATGCCCAGCTACACAGCAGTTAAGAGTACTGGTTGCTTTTGAAGAGGATCTGGGTTCAATTCTCAGTATCCACAATGCCACTTCCAACTGTCTGTTACTCTAGTTCCAGGAGATCCAATGCCTTCTGGTTTCTGTGGGCCCTGCACAAATGTGGTGCATAGGTATACATGCAGGCAAAATTCCCATAGTGTAAAATAAGATAAAATAATTTTAAACACTAAGAGAAAACATTCAGACAAAGCAGCATTCACATGTTGTGCACAGATGTCACATATATTACTAACAGCCAAAAGCATAATCTAGGCCCAAATGGATAGATATAAAGCAAAGAAGATGCTACCAGAAATAATTAACTTTGAGTATGCTAGAAAATCAACTGAAATAAAAACAAAAGTGTCATTTTATGGCAATAATAATAATGACATTATAACTGTCATCCTTTATACTTTTTGTTTTGAAATATGGAGTCACTCTGTAGCCCAGACTGCCTCAACTTGGAGTCCTCCTGCCCCAGCCTCCTGCCTGCTAGGATTACAGGCGTGTGCCCTCATGCCTCAGGCTCTACCTGGCTTCTCTGCTCCCGTGATGAAACACTGACCCAAGGGACCAGGGAGGGAAAGGTTCATTTGGCTTACAGGTTTCATTCCATCATTGTCGAGGGGACCCAGGGCAGAGGCTCAATCCCACAAGCACAAAGACAAAACTGTTTATAACAGAGGGAGAACTATACACATCTGAGATATTTTACAATAGAGATGGTCACACAGGAGGAAATAAGAACCAGTCAACAATAAATACAAAATCGAAATACATCTAATTAGTTATAATAACGTCAGTGAAACAAGTCTTCAAAAGGAAGCTATATCTTTACCATCAAACCAACTTCAGAAAAATGATCAACACAGAAAAGAATATACAGCTGTGATGGGCTATGTATAAAGACTGCTTAAAGGATTTTCTTTATTTTATGTGTGTGTGTGGTTTGCAAGCACCTGGACCATATATGTGCCTGGAGCTGGAGGAGGCTAGGAGAGGGTGTTGGTGCCCTGGAACTGGAGTTACAGACAGGTATGAGCTGTCATGCGGGTGCTGGGAAGCAAACCCACATCCTCTGCAGGGACAGCAGGAGCTCTTACTGCTAAATCCTCTCTCCAGCCTCATATATAGAAAATCTTAAGAGGTTTTTCTAGTGTTTTGATAAAAAAAAATTAAAAGTGAAGAAATACATATTTAGAAGGATACCTCTAACTATGGTTAATGCTTTGTGGTGTGTGTATTTATAAATGTATGTGGTTTATACCTATGTATATGTACAGAGGGCAGAGGAAGATGCCGAGCGCTCCTGCTCTGTCGTTCTTTGCCTCACACCTTGTGGTTTCTGGAGGTGAGATGGCGGTCAGCAAACCACGTTAGTCCTCCGGTCTCCACCCCTCACAGCTCTGCTGTTACAGGCATGCACAGTGGCTACAACTGGCTTTTTATCTTGGTGCTGGGGATCCGAACTCAGATCCTCATGTTTGTAGAGTAAGTACTCTTACCCCTGAACCATCTCCCTTGTTCCAAGATGCTTTGTTTCTTTGTTTCTTTGTTTGTTTTGGCTTTTTAAGAGGGAGCTACACAGCCCTGACTGTCCTGAGCAGGTTGGCCTTGAACTCACAGAGAACTTCCTGCCTCTGCCTCTCAAGTGCTGGGATTAAAGGCATTTGCCACCACACCTGACTCAAGATAGTTAATTAATTTTTTTTAAAGTAATTCAGTCCTTTAAAAACGTTTTCCTGGAGATTTTACCGCTGGGAGCCTGGTTAACGTTGAGTAGGTGTTAGCCATTGTATTTCAGCCCAGAACTTTTCATTGCCAGTGATACCCAGAATAAGGTTATGTGGCAGTTCATTAGATGACTGACACCAGCCATGGACAATGTGAGGGGAAGTGTGCCTTTCCAAAGGCACTCCATGAAGCCTGGGCCCACTAGTGCTCACAGGAGAAAGGCAGGAGTTTCCAGGAAGTGGTCCAGGGGTCACCGCCCTGCTCCCCGTGAGCTGGCCTCCTCTGAATTAGTTTGTCTAAAATGAAATGAAGCTAAAACGTGTTTCAGAAGTGTTCCTCTGATGGCAAAACCGTGTGATGAGGTCAGTAGCTCTTTGGGCCTCAGCTTCTCTAACGGTAAGATGAAAGCAAAATTCCTCCTCTTAGTTTGCTGGGAGAAGATTAAGTCTGAGTCTCAAATGACGTTGAGTCTGCAAAATGCTAGAGAGAATTTACTGGAATGGCATTAAAAGAAGTAGGGCAAACAGTGTATGGCTTCATTTATGTGAGAGACCTAGCGAAGACACAAGGCACAGAAACAGGAAGTGCAATGGTGGTGGCAATGGGCTGGGGGGGGCGGCATGGGCAGCTGGTGTCTCGTGGGTGTGGAATGGCAGCTGAGGAAAATGAAGAGGTTCTGTGGGTGGACAGTGATGCACAATATACCACGACCGGACTTAAAGCCACTGAACCACAGGCTGAAAATGATTAAAATGGAAAAGTTAATTCTATATATACATTATCCATAACATTCTATACATCACCACTTAACAAGTACCAACAAAAGCAAAGATGAGCTATAGACATCAATACCAGATAAGCAAGGACAGGGGGCATTTGAGAGCAGGCGGGCTTGCCCACTGCTTCACCACAGCTCCAAGGATTCAGAGGGGAAGGGGGATGGCAACAGAGTGTATACAAAGCACAGAGACAAGGCAGTGAGTGTCTACGGGGTACCGGCCTGGGGAAGAGGGAAGGACAGAGAGCCTGCCCTTCTAGAAGCATCCCTTCAAACACCTTCATTCTTTTGACCATCATAAAGCACTCTGGTTAAGGTTGCTTTTATGTAACTACCTCAGAAACTCCTCTGTGAACTCTTACAACCTCATCCATGTGTTCCTTCATAAATGCTTGTTCCGGGCCTGTTAGTGCCAGGCACCATTGTAAGCATGCAGCCTACAATATGTGTGCAGACACACGTGTGTACACACAGATGTAGCCCCAGACAGAAATACTGGCTCTTAGGGCCCCTACTTTAGGGATCTTGACGTACCAGGTGCTGCTCTAGGCACATTGTAAATATAGTTTAGTTCATGTGCTCTTCTTGATAATGTTTGAAGCAACTACGTCAGCCCCGAGTTACAAGGTGGGGGTGGGGGTGAAGGCTGGGATTGGGTCCAGTGAGACCAGGCGGTTTGTTCAGCCAGTGGCAGAGCCAGGATGAAGAGCTGTGGCTCTTACTGGGGCATTCGTGAACTCAGGAAGAACAGACTAAGGCAGGAACAGGGTGGGTCCAGGCTCTTGCCTCATTTTCAGAGAAGTGTGGTAGAGTGTGTGGGGCAGCGGAGAGCAAAGCCTTGGAGGAAGGGATGTGTGGCCACCCAGTAGGGCAGGGCTGGGTTAGGACTTGGTGGTGGCAGCAGATTAGAAAGAGGGAGCTCTGGTGTCTTGAAAAGAGGAACCGATCTATTCGGGTGGCTTCCTGGGTGCGAGGGGAAAGGCAATGTCAAAAGTTCAGACCTGGGGCACTTTCCAGACCCACTGTCACTAGCAGGCCTGGGGGTGGTAGTGGCAGGAAGGAGACAGACTTGGGCATGCTCTGCCTCAGTGGGCTAGTCAATCGGCTTCCCTCATTCCAGCACAAATAATGATGGGAAATTCACTGTTCACACTCAGAACGCTCTCGACTCAGTGGGATAACCAGTCCTGGGAGGGCAGAAAGGGAGGGCAGACAGGGAGGGAGAGTAGAGACAGTAGGCAGGGAGGGTGGGCAGAGAGGGTGGGCAGAGAGGGCAGGCAGAGAGGGCAGGCAGGGAGGGCAGGTAGAGAAGACAGGCAGGGAGGGCAGGCGGAGAGGGCAGGCAGGGAGGACGAGCAAGCCCCAGCAACCTACCTTTGTCCTGCTCCGCAGCCTCACTCAGTTCGGGAAGCTTGAACCCCACCAGGTTCTGGTTTCTCATCATGATATGTTCCTTGGTGAGAAGAGGAAGAAACACAATTCAAATGATGCCACCAGGCTAGACACTTTTCTTTGTCGCCTAGTGGCTCTGTAGCCACTCAGCCTTATATGGGCTTCCAAGGACAGTGACCAGAGTGGGTGAATTGGCATGACAAGGTATGGTGAGGCCAGAGGGTCACAAGGTCCTCTCCCCGTCCATAAAAGGGCCTGAAATGCCATCATTGGGTTAAGAACCACCTCCCACATGACTTGCTTATTAAAGGAGTTCTGGGCCTCAGAGAAATAAGCTGCCCAGCCTGACTGTAGGGGAAGTGTGTAGGGACTGTGTAGTCCTTAGGGACTAAGGACTTTGGGGACAGTAAGGTCCTGGATATATATGCAACCGCTTCTGGGAGCAAGTCTTGAAGAACTCATAGCTGGCAGCAGCTTCCTGCCCTGCTCTTCTGTGTGACACTCCTTCCTCAATGGTCTTTGTGGCCTGAGAGTCATTGCCTGGGGAACTGAGCAGCAGACCTAGGTTGAGGGTGGACCCAGTAGGCCACCCTTGCTCCAAGCCAATTCCTGTCAGACTAGGGCCCTCTAGTGGAATGCCTGAGTTCTCTCCTGGTCCCTGGTGCTATCCAAGGGTTTTCAGCCTCCCAGGTGACAGAAACCACTTGAGTGACTGGCCCCTGGGTAAAAGAGGAAAGGAAGATGCCAACAGAGACCACTCAGGCTCCAAGCAGAACCGAGGCCAACCCCGTGCTGATATACTCAGCACGCCCGAGGTCCAGAGCCCATCAGCTGTCTTCACACCGGACAGCGTGAAGTGTGTGTGCTCAGCTGCAGATGCAGTGGCATGAACTTCCAGGCTCTCTGCAACTTCCTTTGCTGAGTGAGTGTGACCTAAAGGGGGGTGTGGGGAGTTCTGGGGTAGTGGCTTACTCTCCCGGCGTTTGAAATCCATAAAGGTGAATCCCGAGGTGTCTGGCCCTTCATCTCCACTTGCCTTCACGGATGTGGGATGTGGCCCACGGTGGGTGGCTCTGCCTGGCCTTGTTCTAAGCTACCAGGTACCCTGAGCTCTGGATTAGAGGATGGCGGTTCTATGCAAATCTTCCTAAGTCTGTACCCTAAAACATCATAGATGATCATGATCTTCTATCTATCTACCTATCTACCTATCTATCTATCTATCTATCTATCTATTTATCAATCATATAAAGATATATATATATATATATATATATATATAGAGAGAGAGAGAGAGAGAGAGAGAGAGAGAGAGAGAGCTTTGACTTGCTTCAAAGTCACTATGTATGTGAACATGACATTGAACTTCTGATCCTCCTGCCTCCACCTCTTTGGTTCTGGGATAACAGACCTGAGCTACCACCACATGTGGTTTTATGTGATCCTGAGAACCCAGGGCTTTGTACGTACTGGCGTGCACACACTCTACCAACTGAGCCACTTCCCCAGCCTCACAGAAGCCCTCTGAAGAGCACAGCGGTCTGTTAGACTGTGTCCTTGCTAGCGTAGATATTCTCATTTGCACTGGGGTGCTACAGACCCTCGCTTCCTTCCTCACCCTCACTCCCTCAGTAGAGGAGCCAGGGGACGTTGCCCTATTCTAGTCCCTAATCTATAGGATCCCAGTCCCTGACCTGGATTGAGGTTGGCCTTCTGAGAGAGAAGGGACTGGATCGGGACTTGTTTATCCAGTTAATCCCTCCCTTTTACAGTCTCCCCTCTGCCACTCCATAACGACTCATTGTGCAGTAGGGCAGTCCCCTGATTGACCACTGTCCCTAGCTTGATGACCAATGGAAGCTGAGGACACCGTGGACACTGGAAGAAATTCACCATGGAGGAGCAGTGCCGTGTTGACAATGTCATGGTGGTTCCTGGGTCTAAGTAGGTACCAAGAAGGCAGGCTGAATGACATTACAAAAAGAAAACCTGCTTATCCTGGTCTTGCCCAATTCTAGTTATCTTGTCACCAATTCTAGTTAGAGGAAGAAGACAGCTCAGGATAAGGAGTCCATAAATGACCAACTTCCCATGAAGTGTGGCTAAGTGTGACTGCTATGTCTTAGGCTGACTTCTATCTATTAGCAGGAACAAAAGGCACCCGAAGTTGCTGCTGTGGAGATGTAACACTGATGGCACCGGCTTCTCAGGGTCGAGAAGTCTGGGAGTCCTTGACGTCAAAGCTGCCCTGTCCCAGAGTTCAGCATGAGTGGGAAGTCTGTAGCTCATGGGGGACCTGGCGTGGCCACACTGTGCAGCAGGGCAGGGACCCACCTCCCGAAGCTTGGTCAGTTTCTGCATGCGCACCGGCTGTACTTGTATCTGGAAGTCCTTGAGCCCAGGCGGCTTAGCGAGCTTGGCTTTGCCTGGAAACCGCTTCTCTTCCTCTGACAGAGGCAGTTTAGCAAGTACCTTCTGCAGCAGGGGACCAGGTTCTTCGGGGCTGCTGTCCCAAGAGACTCCCCGTATCAAGGGGGGGCGCGACACAGGGGGCCGCAGCTCAGCTTTGGTACCAGCCTTAAGCCCCACAGGTTCTCCAGCAGAGCCTTGTCCCTGCAGGTGTGAGGAAACAGTTCCTCCTGAGCCTTGGACTGCACCTCGGGGCAGAGGGCTGCCTTCCTTGACTGTCTTCTGGAGCTGCCTTCCGAGTTCCACCTCAGCAGGGCCAGATTGGGGGCTGTTCAGGGCCATTTTCCCACTGATGCTTGCTCCTGAAGCCTGAGCCGTGGGCGTGGCCTCCGGATGCTGACGGGGATCAAAGTTTTCCTTTTGTTCTACTCTAAGTTCTTTGGATTTCTCCAGTGTGGGAGAGCGAGGAGCCAGTCTGCCTTGAGACACTTTCCTCTGGTCATTCTGCTTCCGGTCGGCTAGCCCTTTGGAGACAATCTGAAAGAGACACGGTAGAGTTGGGACCCTGGAGGCAGGTTGAGGAGACTCAGAACCTGGACAAGAGGCCTATTTATGTGTTTGTAGGAGCGGCCCAGCTTTCCTGCACCCTGAGCTGAGATGAGCAACTCCTGTCTGACTGTGGCTGGATTTGTGGGTGCAGAATCACTCTTCTGGGGTGTGTGCCTTACCTCTTTCCCTCTCGTACTTCCATCTCAGAAGACAGAGGAGCCTTCTGCTTGCCCAGCACCCATCCCCTACTCACATCCATGCCCCCCACATCTGCAGGCTTCCCAGGGGCCAGCCTACGTTTCTGAGACATTTTTCACATTCAGATCATGGCAAAGCAAACAAAGCCCAAACTCACAGGCTCTCCGAGGTGAGATGAGGAGATGTCGACCTCATGCCCCTTTTGCTGAGAAAGAAAACACAGGTTAGCAGCAGTAGGAAGAGGCCGGCTCCCCCCTGAAGCTTAGCAGGGTGTAAATGCGCCCCCCACCCCGCTACCTCCCTCATTCGGGGCTTACAGAGAGTTCTAGGATGCTAGGAACAAGAGATCTACTGGCATAGAAGGAGCACAGGTGTGTCGTTACCTGTGGTGGTCCTCCCGGCGAAGGGGACTGCGGGCCAGTGCCCGTGTCGAAACCTGCAACGGGCCAGCAAAGGTAAGCGATGCCCGTCACCTAGCTCCGTAGTTGTCACCTTAACATCAACCCATGCCCCCCCAAAATGTCCCCCCAAAAACCTCCTTGAGCCATCCATTGTAAGGCCTGGCACAAAACACTGTTGCTCACCTGCCAACACTGAATCACCATAGAAACCAAATAAGGAAACTGAGTCACGGGGGACCTGAAGGTTTGATCACCAGGAAGCATCTGTGCATATAGGGTCCTGGACTTGTCCTCCAGCACTGACAAGGGCAGGCTGCCCACGTGGTACTCTGGTGCCTGAGGGTGTGGCTGGACACAACCCAGAAAGGACGAGGCCGAAACATATACGAGGCTTGGAGATGTAGCTCAGCGGCAGAGTGCGTGTGTGAGGACCTAGGTTCAACCCCCAGGACCACAAGAACAAACAAAACTTATAGTGGTCCAAACAAGGGGATTCAAAACAAGCTGTGATGGCGTGTCTCTGGAGAAAGCGCACCCATCATAGGCCCCTTTCTGTGACCTCAGCCCTACCCTCACTCAGCCTGTCTCTGTTGCCTGCCGTACTGTTTCTAGTCCTCAGAGCAGGGGGTGGGAGACCAGCCTCACCTGGTGGTGTGGAAAGGGTGAGCGAGCAGCTTCTGGAGGGCGAGGGAGATGCTCCAGGGCTGAGGTTTGGGGAAATGGCTGTGGAAACAAACACCTGGCTGGCATTCGCGAAGCGCTAGGACTTCTGCCCCCTAACAAATGATTCTCTCAGGGAGATTTTACCCCTTGGAAACCCGGACTGTCTTGTCAAGGCCAGGGGCTGGTTCTGCATTGCCATATAAGACTCCTATTACAACCCAACTTTTGCTATGGCCAGCCCAGCAGAGGGACCCTCAGGTAATTTCCAGTATGTGGGGTCACATCCCTTAGCCTGTTGGACCTGACCTCAGAGAACTTTCCAGAAACTGAGGACTTGGCATAGTTTGACAGGAAAAGCATGCAAGGTTGCACTTTCTAGATGCCTTCGGACCACTCTGGTTTCAAATGCTCTCCTTGTCCTCCAAAGCCATTTAGACTAGTCTAAAACCCACATCATCTTTATGCACAGAAGGAGAGGGACCGCAGCCCAGCCAGCATGGCAGAGGGTCCCAGGGAAAAGTCATCTCTTTAGCCCAGAAATTCCCTCAAAGTCTGTCTCTTTTCCAGAGTTGGAGATCAGGGCCCAGGTCAATCTTCTCAGCCCTTTGCTGGGGAGATGCCCACCGCAGAACAGGGTCTTCATAGAGAGGGTGGGACTATTAGACCAGACTCTGCCTTGCAGGGCCATGAAAGGGTCCGTGCATATGGGAATCACACAGGGTTTCTCTGCATGAGTGCTAAGGACCTAGGCATTCATGAAGGAGAGTTGCTGAGACCCAATAAGAGCACTGGCATTATGTGGAATTTTTGTCCACACATGGGAGAAGACCTAGAAGCAAAACACAGGAGAGTTCTGAGGAAGAGATGGGTAGGTGCTTTGGAAGCTGAGCACAGTGGTTTCTCGAGGGGTCATCTCTGCAAGGCTGTAGCCCACCCTCTGGGAAACAAGGGCCCTGCAGCTGGGGCATGATCTTCCCCTCCCTCCCCTCTCAGGGCAGCCACCTGTCCTGCTGCTGGTCCTGCCCTACCTGATGGGGAGTCTCCAGGGCTGCTCCTTGATTTCCTCCCGCGGCGGGCCAGGAATCGCTCACTCACCGACTTGGCTTCTTCCAGAAGCGCCAGGTTTTTCTTCTTGTCTTCCTCTGAGATGCTGATGTCTGGCAGCTGGTCATTTACCAGGTCAATGACATGTCCCGTGGGGTCTGTTGGAAGAGAATGGGCTCCCGGTGAGAGTCACCTCACCTTAGAGGCCCTGCAGCCTCAGGACTCAGCTATATGTCCATGTCGGGGTGGAGGGCATGGGGACAGACAGTGACTTCCTCAATAGACCTGCCTCTGTCTTGAGGCTATCAGAAAGGTTTATGAAGTACACTTTGGTTCCCAGAGTTGTCCTAACTCTGCTCTAAAGGGGGTCCTGCCTTCACCCTCTGTTTCTTTACAAGCTAGTCAGTCACTGTGTAGCTAGGGACAAAGCTCAAAGCTGTTGTCCCAAGCCCCAGCTGCAACCCCATGGTCACCTTTCCCCTGTTCATCCTTCCCCAAACTGCCCCTTCTCCAGAAGTGCCCTGGGTGCTGGCTGGGTGACTGTCTCCTTGCTGGACACTCAGGGATAATGGTCACTCCAGGCATCACTTTTCTCTTCTTCGGTTTCCATGGCTAAGACCTGGCCCAGGAGTACCATCTGCCTATAGGTGTCCCTGGAGCCTGTCCCCATTTCTATTCCTTCTCATAAGCTCTTACTTGAACAATTACATCGGCCCCTGAAAAGCCTCTGCCTTTAAGTCAGTCTCTTTGCCCCACTGTCTGTTGCCTACGGAGTGGCCTTTGCCCTACTGTCTGTTGCCTACGGAGTGACCTTTGCCCCACTGTCTGTTGCCTACGGAGTGACCTTTGCCCCACTGTCTGTTGCCTACGGAGTGACCTCTCTAGTAGTTATGTCTGACCACGCTGTCCTCCGGCCTCATCCCATGGACACCACTTAGAGTTCCCAGGGTCACATCTAAGCAGGCCGCCAACTTTGCAGGCCCTACATCCTGCTTCCAAGACCTTGTACCAACTCCATCCCTTCTGTGGTTGGCTCCCAGTCTGTCTCCCCTGCCTCCATTCACGTCCCTTCCAGAAGTAGCTCTTCATTTTTCACTAGGGGAAGCCCTCTGAATCACCATCACCAGCCATAACTCTGCTTCATGAGCCAAGGCTGAGTGGGAGTGGGTCCCAAGCCAGTCTTGGCCAGTCGAGCAATGCCATCCAGGCAGCCACAGGGGTGGGCTGGCGGTGACCACACAAGGCTCGTGAGAAGCAGTCGTGGGAACCGAGAGGGAAGAAGGGCTTCACGGATGAATCTAAAGAATTGAGGGGCAGCCAGCCGTTTGTTCCCATGAGTGGAAAGTCTTCCCCGGAAGAAGACTCGCACATTGAAGGAGAGGAGATGGAAAGGTATGATAGCCAAGAAACAAATCGAATACCTGGACCCCACAGTTCCTGGAACCATAGACTCTGACGGAGGAGGAGATGGTGGTGGAGGAAAGCAAGGAGAGAGGAGAGGTGGGGAGGGGAGGGGGAGGGGAGGGGAAGAGGATCACACCGTTCTAGAGCAAGCTACTATATGGTGTTGGGCGCCATCATTTGCCATGGTTGTGACACATGGACCTAGCACAGCATCTGGACATTTGATTGCTACAGTGCTCTGTGGGACTCCTGCTTCATCCACACATCTTCATCTACCTAGTGTGTCGTCTTTCCCTCCTGTGCGTCCATCTCTTTAAGGGGAAACTCAGATACTGCTTTCCCTGGGATGACAGCACATCCCCCCTCCCCCCCACCCCCCGCTCAGAGAAGTGGGCCCCTCCCTACCTTGGTTTTCTTAGGTCTCCCATGAACGGGCCTTTATCAACACCAGCTCACTTCCCGACCCCCTTAAACAGTGTAATCAACACTGAATACAAAGACCTAGTCTATGTGACCCCTGTCCTTTAATGGTCCCATGAAGGTTTGTAAAACCATTAGTAGGAACCAGCAGGGATCGTAGCCACCAGTCTTTCACACGGGCGGGTGCACTCCCACCTGATTGACAGAATACAGACAAATCTCCCGCACCAGGCGTGTACCTGCCCAGTAGCACAGCCCCATGACTCTCTGCCCCTTCTCCCGCACCAGGTGTGTACCTGCCCAGTAGCACAGCCCCGTGACTCTGCCCCTTGAGCCCACTGCTGAGCGTCACTTTTCTGTCTTTGCTGACTTCCTCATCTTCCTCTTTCATTCTGACACTGAAACTAGACATCATTGCAGCTGGACCCAGACATGGAGAGGCCGATCTCCTCTACCCTTTGGGCTTGGGGAGAGGGAACAGGGCTGAGTGTGACTGAGCTCAAGAGCTTTCTATTCGAACACATCCTCATATTGAACCAGCCCTTACCCACAGAAGTCAGCGAAGCCGTGGAGACCTTCAGGTGTCGGTGGGAAAGCCTGCGGTGGGGGCTGGGAGCTCTGAAAGACAGGACATGGTCATCCTGTTAGAACATCTGCCCGGAGATGGACAAATGAGATGCCTCTACAGTCTCTCACTGTCGACTTATAGGCTCAGGCCCTCTGACTGTCACCTTGGGAGCATGTTAAATGGATGAATTCCCAGGCTGTATGCCAGTCTCCCACCTCGGAGCCCCTGGGAGCGTCACTCACTCAGCAAATCTCTATGCCACTCTGCTGCCCACTCAAGGTATCCAAGCCTGCTCTCAAGAGATGAACTTTACTGCAGTATTTACTGTGTGTGAGGACCCCGGCTCTGTGTAGAGCTGTCGTCTGTGGAAACCTCAGGAAACATGCATTGGGGCTGGTAGAGACACGCATGAGAATTCCAGAACACGGTTTCACTGCCCTGAAAACGTGAAGCTTTTTGTTGTTGTTGTTTTGCTTTTGTTTTTGTTTTTTGAGACAGGGTTTTGCTGTGTACCCTTGACTGGAGACCAGGCTGACCTCAAACTCACAAAGATCTACCTGCCTCTGCTTCCTGAGTGCTGGGATTAAAGGTGTGTGCCACCACCGCCCGGCTACATCAAGCTCTTTTTAAAGATTTGTTTTAAATTCTGTGTGTGTGTGTATGTGTGTGCAGCTGCATGAGGAGCCAAGGCATCAGATTCTCCTGGAACTGGAGTAACAAATAGTTGTGAGACACCCAATTTGAATGGTGAGAACCAAACTCAGGTCCTCTGCAAAAACCATATATGCTTTTGACTGCTGAACCAATTCTCCAGCCCCAAGAAGCTGCCTTAAGTGACCTCACAATTTTATTCAGCTTTTCCGCCCCCTCCCACATTGATTATGCATGTATCTTCATTTCTTATATCCTCCTTGGTATCCACTCTGCCCTTTTGCTCATGCCATTAATTAATGGATGAAGAAGATTTGGCATGCATACTCTTGTGAAAATTACCCTCTTATGAGAACTATCCTCTGGCTAATGTCTGTGGTGTTGCCCGTAAAACCCAGTCTTGGACTTGCTGGGCCAGCACCTTCCCACGGACCTGTATCCCTATTCCTGAGAATTATCTTTTAAATTTATTAAAAGTGATACCTAGACAACTTTATCCCAGCTAGATCAATGCAGGGACCCGTGATGAGGGAACAGTGACATCCCTGGGAAGGCGACCCAGTGTTCCTTCCAACGGATTATCTTCCAAGGAGGACTGGTTTGTCCGCAGCGGAAGTCTGGAGTCAAAGACCCACATCTTCCAGGTTTGTATAGGAATACCTGGGTTGACATGATGGGAATTTTCCCTACTGTGATGTCTTGTGCTTTTCTTAAAACCTCACAGGGCAGAATCCAAGAACAAGAACATCATTTTGGGGAAAAAAAGATATTGGGGGAAAATCCTAAATTCTCTTTCCCCATTTTGAAAAGCTGTCTGCTAATACTTGTTTTTATTTTTGAGGTAAGGCTTCGTGTATCCCAGACTGGATCTGAACTCCCCATGTAGCCAAGGATGACCTTGCACTTCTGATTTCTTGCCTCCACTCCACCTGAGTGCTGGGGTTACAGGTGTACCCTACCATACATACCCTTTATGTGATACTTGCAATCAAACCCAGGGCTTCTCACAGCATGACAAGAAGCAAGCTATCAAATGAGCCCCATCCCCAGTCCTCTCTGATAGTGTCTTTATCAGGAAAGTGACTCGGAGACGAAGAGAACATCTCTAGAAACACACTCTCGATCCCTCCATTTTAGAAAGCATTGCCCATCTGACTGGGCCGCATACCTGTTGGCCAGGTTTTTGTCGGTTTCTCCTTCAGGTGAACTGGCATCCCCCGTCAGGATGATTGTGGGAGGGCTGTGAAACGGTCCTGCAGAGGGAGAGTCCTGGTGGTTTAGAGCAAAACACAAACGGAGTTAGGCCTGGGCTGGGGGGGAGCATGCAGGGCCGTGGAACTGCAGCGTTTCCCAGTGTGACTCCCAGGGTCATTGCCACGGGTCACCAACTCGGTGTGTCGGTTTGTCTATTTCAGCTTCATCAAGGAGTAATTGAGAAACGGAAATTGTGTATATTCAAGGTGTGATATTTTGGTGTAGGGTACATTGATATAGCTACAGATAAGTGAATGAGGATACAGACTAGCTCGGTTCTCTCTCTCTCTCTCTCTCTCTCTCTCTTTCTCTCTCTCTCTCTCTCCCTCTCCCTCTCTGTTTCTCCTCTCTTTTTTACTCTCTCCCTCCTCCCTTCCCCCTCCCTCCATCCCTCCCTCTTCTCTCTCCCTCCCTCCCACATGGGGGTGTATGCTGCCATGTGGTGCCAGGAATCAAACCCAGGTCCTCAGCCAGTGTTCTTAACTGCTAAGTCATCTCTCCAGCCTCTTGGTTTTTGCTTTCCTCGAAACTGAACAATAAGCAATCTCAGGTCCATATTTCTGCATAGAAACTGTGGTCAGAAAAATTAAATTCTAGCCTGGTCTGTTCCAATCATTCAAGCCTATGGACCCAAACACTTCTGTTATGGCCTCTGCAGTGGCTCAGCCTTCCCTGCCTTTCTGGTGTACGTGATACTTAAGTCTGAAGTCCCCCTGACTCTCATGTTCTTGTTCACAAGTGACTCTTGCCACAGGAAGGCTGATTAACACTCCTGTGCACATTAGGATGTGCACAGGATTTTGTCTCAACTGAATATTTGAGCTCCGGAAATTGTCTTTTTGTGTCTGCCTTACTTACTTACAGCCCATCTCATGTGAATCTCCTGGTGAACAAAAGATGTATGTTGGCTAAAATGAGAAGATGTAAAGTCAGTCCAGGAGTGTGCAGCCGACCACTAAAAACATTGCCTTGCCCCAGGGCCACACCAAACCCAGGTAGCATCCTTCCCACTGGGTCACACCGCTTCTCTGTCTGTCAGATTCTCCTTATTGACACCTCCCCCTGGTTTCTGGTGTCCTTCGGACAATATTCTCTTAACTTTATGTGCTGCACACTTCATTGTGGGGGTGTCTCTTCCTCCAAGAAGTCCTAAATCCAGATGAGACAGAACATACAGCAAGAGTTATGGTGTTATTTTGTTTGTGATCTAACAAGTAAAGTTTTCCAGAAGATCAAAGTGTGGAGACAATCCACTAGTTAGCCATGGAGGTCAGGTAGTGGTAGCACACTCCTTTAATCCCAGCACTCGGGAGAAAGAGGCAGAAGGATCTCTGGCAGTTCAAGGCCGCCCTGGGCTACACAAGATTGATTCTGTCTAAAAAAGAAACAGAGCCAGATGGTGATGGTTCACACGTTTAATCCCTGTGTTTATGAGAGTCACAGGCCTTTAATCCCAGCACTAGGAAGGTAGAGACCGAAGGGATATGGCTGGGTGGAGAGAGGAATATAAGACAGGAGGAAACAGGAGCTCAAGGCATTCAGTCTGAGGACTTGTACAGACAGGACACCCCATTAGGTGTGAGGATTTCACAGAGGTAACAACTAGTGGTGGCTGCTCTACTTCTCTTATCTTTCAACATTTACTCCGATATCTGACCCCGGGTTTTTATTATTAAGACCAATTAGAAATCATGCTACAGGGTGGGAAGCAGGATGGGGCAGCACTGCGCCTGGGTTCTTGTCCCTCTTCCTTGTCTGAGGACTCAGCCTCCCCAGGGCTCTCTCTCTCTTCTCCTCGGGGTCCGCCAACCTCTGTGGGGCTATGCCACCTCCAGCAAGCTCGCTTCAGTCATAAGCAACAGGTCACATTTTGTTCCCCTCTAATAAATCTTATAGAAACATTTAAATGTTTATTTCACTCATAAATTCCCAAGAGTGCACAATAGTTTCCTATGTTCCTGAGCACATGGATAAATATAGACCGATGTCATAGATGGGAATATGAGCTTCAAGTCTTCGAAATCACATGACTAGGTCTGGGCTCGGACACTTTAGGAACAGCTCCAGGTCTGGTCCAGGCCGGTGTGGAAAGTGTGGTTTCTGTGGTGGCCTTGGGTGACAGTGGAACGCGGAGGACCTACTGGGTCAGCGTGAACAGGGACGCGGCTGGGTGGACCTGCAGTGGGATCCCAGCCGGGTGACCTCCAGGCAGATACTTCATTCCTCTGATCTTTCTGTTTCTAAACATCAAATGGAGCTAATACTCCCTAGACAGACTTTAAAAATAAGCACAAATAAAGCAAGAAGAATGACGGCAGGGGAGGGGTGGGAGGTCGGTGCACATTGTTTGACTGTATCCACAGTCTCTCTGCTATAGCCCAGCAGGCAGGCAGGGACTCCCTTGGGAGGGGAATTTGTTCTCGCAAGACAAAATAAAAAGATTCTCAGGGGACTTACAAGAAAATGATGACTCCGGTGTCAAGTCCTAAGGCCATGGGAGAGAGGGGAAGGACTTCTGTGGGGCACATGGCTCCTCTGTGCACACCATGGAGAGCATTCTTTGCCCCACGATCCGGAAGGCTTGCTCCTCAGTGTATGCTCCCATGTGCCCAGGGCCCACTCTGATTTTGTCAGTCTCTGCCAGCGTCCGCTTAGGTTCCAGAAGTCGGAGATCCATAGTCATTGGAATTTCCTGCTCTCTCTTGCCTTATTCTTTCTCTCAGGCCATCACATCTCAAAAGTGTGGAGCAGTACACAATGGGTGTTGGCCATGCTTTGCAAAACATCACCCAGCCAGCCCCATTCATCCACCATCATCGTCAGTCCTCCCTCCCTGATGCTACTCCTTGTTTCATGTCTTCCTCCCTTCAGTCTAACCATCCATCTTGCCACATGGCCATCCATCCATCCATCTATCAATCCATCCAATCATCCTTTCATCCATCCATCCATCCATCCATCCATCCATCTATCCATCCAATCATCCTTCCATCCATCCATCCATCCATCCAGGCATCCACCCAACAAACCATCCATTCATCCAATCATTCTTCCATGCATGCATGCCCACACCTGAGACCACTGGGACTTAGTACAATGGCCTCACTGGCAAGAAGAGACAAAGAAGGCAGGATCATGTATACAAGGAATCTTCACTTAACAGTTGACTCTACACTTAACTGTGACACACTATGTGACCGCTGACAAATACATAACATCTTAGGTGGAGTGATAATATCTAACATGGATCAATGAATACCAGATACCTAATAAACGTTACCAATACCTCCTACACCAGATCCTAATGCCTTATTGATAACTTCTGCAAAGATATTTCATTTTAGACCTTAATTGAGACCGTCTTAGAAGGATGTGATAGCCTAAGTGAATACTGTGGTTCCAATATGAAATGTCCCACATAGGTTCATAGGTTGGAGTCTAGAAACCCAGTTGGTGGTGCTGTTTTGGTGAGTGCTTCAAACTTTAGGGGAGTGGAGCCTAACTGGAGGAAATTAGGTCAACTCACCAATGTCCTGGTGGAATATACCTTGTCCCCATCCTTTTCCTGTCAAGCTTCCTGCTTCCTGTCCATCATGAGTGAGTGGCCTTGCTCCACCACATGCTCCCTGCTGTGATGCCCTGCCTCACTGTGAGCCCAGGAAGAACAGGGATAAGGGATAATGGACTGAAGACTCTAAAACCATGGATTGAATAATTCCTAAGTTGGCCCAGGTATTTCAATCACAGCTAAGGAAGTCGAATTATAGAAGTGAACAAAAGCTCTCAAGGAAGATGATGCAATATTCCAGATAGAGCGTCTGAGGACTTCCTTATGGTTCTGGAGACGAGCGTGTGCTTGGCTCACCTGGGTGTTCATGCCTGTAAACTAACAATACCTGCTTCCTGGGACTGGGAAGCCACCTTGTGGCACATACAACTGTGTTGGCTTGCAGGAAGATGGAATGAGGGTTCTCATTGGGGGGAGGGGGTGTTGGAGGACTTCCCTACTCTAGGGGGTCCATCCAAGGTTACAAGGATTTTATATGCCTCATCGATTTCATCTCTATCTCATTCCTGATAGAAGACTGGTTGTTTAGGTCATATAATGGTTAGTGTTAATTGTCAACTTGATGTAATTGAGAATCATTAGCAATCATGGAATGTGAAGCCCAGGTACTCTGCCAATCTGCTTACACCTACATGCCTGGGACCCAGAAGCATTCTCTGTCCCGGGCATACAGCTGTAAGAACTTTCTGGCTGCTTAGAGGGTGTTACATAGTCTCTCCTCTTAAAAGAGGACAGACCAATGTGATGGGCTGAGCCCTAGCTGCCCAAGGGGAAAGACAGGCTGGGTCTTGACTACATTGACACCAACAGAGAAAGAACGTCTGATATGCTATGGTGACATCTAGTAGGGTCTTCAGCTTGGATCTGAAGAAGAGGAGCCTAGTGGCTTTAAGAGCAAAGGTTCCCAGGTCTCCGCAAAGGGTTCCCTCCTTAGAGCCTATGTCGGTTCCTCTTGTCACTGTTGTTCCAGAACACCTGACAGAACTAGCTTATGGGAGGAAGGGTTGACTGTGACTCATGCCTCAAGAGCCCAGCCCATCGAGAGCCCAGCCTATCATGGCAGAGAAGGCATGGTGGCAGGAGTGGGAGGTGGCCGGTCACACTGCATCTATGGTTGGGAAACAGAGAGAAATGAACGCTGGCTTTTACTGACATGGGCCCCTATATCCCAAGTGCGCTAGGCACCTCTGAGGCCGTCACGCTGTCCCAGGGAGTCAGCTTCCTAAACGGCTTCTGGTCACGGCTCAGGAGATGCTGATGGCGTGAGCCCATTGCATCTGGGGTCTGCAGCAGCACAGTGATGAAGAGACGGGCCAGCATGCGTTCATCTGAGATTTCTGCTCTAGGTTTCTGCCGTGACTTCCTTCAGTCATGGACTGACACTTGGAAGCCTTTCCTCGCCAAGTTAACTTTTGGTCATGATCTTTATCACAGCAACAGAAAACAAACTAAGACTTATGTGATTTAGGATCCTTCCAGCTGACAGACTGTCATTCTGTGCTCCCTAAATGTCCTAGGCTTGTGTCCTGGCAGCTTCAATCCATCAGGGCCACTTGAGTGTAGACTTGGTGTCCTTCACTGTGCCTGTGCCCAGAGTACACTGCAGAGTCAGTGCTGGGAGCCTGTGCTACACTGCAGGCCTTGAGGGCAGCTTCCAATGAGCAGTTTCAGAGCAGAGAAACAGTTTAACCCTCCAACTTCAGTGTTTCTGTTGTAAGGAATCAGGCTAGTGGTGGGAAAGGGAGGCTGGGACCAGAGTACTCAAAACTAGAACTGGACCCCAGGGAGCTATCAGCGTGAAGGGATACTCTGTCCCTTGCCTGCTTTGTGGAGTGGGAATTCACACAGACCAGGGACTTCCGGCTGAACCCTGGCCAGCCTTGCTTTCCTGGCTGCCTGGCCCTCACGTAGCAGGACCTACAAGCAGCCGACAGCCACACAGGTTGGAAGGGGAGTGGCTTTTTTGTCTTGTGAGGATATGGTTTTAAAGCACTTTTTTTAAAAAAAAAAAAAAAAGATTTACTTTTATTTGTGTGTAGTGTGCATGTGTGTCTGTGGTGTATGTGTTTATGTGTGGTGTGTGTGTGTGTGTGTGTGGTGTGTGTGTGGCATGTGTGGTGTATGTGGTATGTGTGTATGTGTATGTGTGGATGTGTGTGCGTGTGGCATGTGTGATGTATGTGGTGTGTGTGGCATGTGTGATGTATGTGGTGTGTGTATGGTGCATGTGTGTGTGGTATATGTGTGGTGTGTGTGTGTGTGGTGTGTGTGGTGTGGTGTGTGTGGGTGTGTGTGTGCGTGCGCACTCTCGCATACAGAAGAGGGCATCAGACCTCCTGGAGGAGTAACTGTAGGCAGTTGTGGGTGGGTGCTGGGAACTGAACTCAGATTCTCTACGAGAACAACATCCTCTACTAAACACTGAGAGCTACAGATGTGGGACGAATGGGACTCAGCCTTTACAAGGGATGAAGCTGTATCTTGGTTTTAGGAGTTACTTTTATCTGTAGGAGGCATGGAGATCCTTGGGCTCACAGACAAGCACTAGAGGAGGCTGGAATGTCAAATACATAGGGTTGTTCCTTCATAGGAAGAGATACATAAACTGTTATCTACACAAAAGCCTGGGAGAGGGTGTGGTTAATAGTCTGGTGACTTCTGTGCTATATGTGAGGCTGAAACCACACTGGAATCTCCCCTGGACCCTTAATATAAGCTTGTTTGTCTCAATCTATAGACTACATTTTTATGAGGGTGTTCTGCAGAGTTCTACGTAGTCGTGCCTGATCTTTATTGAGCTTAATTTGTGCTTTATTGTGCACATAGATTGAGTTAATTATTACCAGAAAAGTTTTCGCCAAATTGTGCTGTGTTTAAATATGCCTAAAACAAACCTCTCGGGGTCAGACTTCTGGGGTTTGAGCTAACACCAGCTCCTTAGTCATGTTGAACTGGACTGCCTTCCTGCCTCCCACAGACTGTTGCTCTGCTGGCTGTGGGGATCACAGAGGCTCCCCCATATTTATTCTTGGGTTAACTGTCTGGGGAAACTGCCCACAATTTGGGATCCAAGTTCAGTGTGTTACCATTGTTAGTGAAGTAGAGGGGTCAGAGATGACCATTATGAGAGGGCACAGGGGTGACAGAGTTGAAGAAAGCCATCAGGGGATTGGGAGCAGCCACACTTGAATCCACTCACCACTGTTTGCCTTATGTGGTCACTCCATTTTCATTCCCCCAAGTCTTCAGACCTCAGTTGCCTTGAGGGTTGCTGATACACAGTACCTACTTACTATAGCCCAAGACGCCCCTAGAAAGCTGTGCTGTGGAACATTCCCTAGAACCTCAAGCTATGGTCTGTAGACAGAGAGATGGGAGTTTGGTTCACTGTTTTCCTTTTTTAGATGTTTAAGAAAAAGACATCCCCCATCCCTAAGCTGCCAAGTTCACGTCTCAAACACACGAACTTGGGATATAGAGATACAAGGACTATTCCCGTCTAAATATTTGCTATCTTAGTTCCCACGGTAATGTGTAAGAAAGCAAATATCATCACAACATGAAAATATTCGCTAGGGATCTGCCCATCTGGAAAAGCGATGCTCACTCACCCCCTCTTCTCTTGCTTAGTAAGTCTGTCTCATCAGTGTGCCCCATCAGTGTGGACCACAGTCAGATACAAGGGCACGGCACAAGTTCAGCGCAAATCAACGGTAAAGTTCAAGTCAAAGAAAAAGGTGGTGGTGACCTTCATAAGCAAAGCCTGTAATCCAGGAGGATTAGACAGAGCTGGGCCAGTGACCAGATAGAGAAAAAATGAGGATGATGGCAAGATAGATTCTTCAGAAGGAAATGGCTTCACTATCTTGGGGAAATTGTTCTCGCCTTACATTTTAAGCATTCTCTTGCTGGGGTTGCTATAAAATAAATCGTGAAGAATGTGGTATCATGTGAACAAGTTTTTTAGCTGACAGAAAAAAAATAAGCAGAGGTCTGAGAGATGGCCCAACCAGAAAGTCACTACCATACAAGCATGCAAACTTAAGTTTGGGTCCTTAGCACTGAAATAAAAAAAGGGGGGAGAGCAGGAGCAGTGTGAGAAACAGACAGGAAGACCCCCAGAGTTTCCTGCTCAGACAGTCTTATTGAATTGGTAACTTTCAGGTTCAGGGAGAGATGTTGCCTCAAAAAATAAAATAAGGAATGAAGAAGACACTCAATGTGAGCCTCTGACTTCCATGGATGTGAAAACACATGCATATACCACATATACAAAATAAAACAAAACAAGTAATATACAGATCAAGATCAATTTGAAAATAAATATATAACCTATACTTTGTGATTATATATAGCTAAAAATTGCCTTTTTAAATTTAATTTGCAAAATAAAACCTCATTGGTACATTCTTTGCTATTGCCATTGCTTTTGTTACTTGTCTGGGTTTTCATTTTGTTTTGGTTTTTTTGAGATAGGGTCTCGGTCTGGAGCCTAAGCTAGTCTGGTCTGGAACTCAAAGTGACCGACCTGCTACCTCAGGTTCCTGAAGGCTGGACAACAGACATAAGAAACCATACCTGCCTCAACGAGAACGCTCCTACTGAACACTTTAAAAACCATTTTCTATTTTATTATCAACTTTGCCTGAAACCTTGTCCTACCCTTTACTATGAACTTTTGATATTCATTTGAAGCAGATTATTTCAGAGCGGCCTTTGACTATGTCTGCTCCCCTGTCTCCTCTACTTCTTTCTCAAGAATAAGAGGGAGCAGTCTGGGTCAAGGTAGTTTGAAATCTCATGAAGCCTTAGCCATATACTGTCTAGATGGTTTCGTACTCAGGCTTTATGGGACCATGGCCACTTAAATAAACTCAGGGCAGCGTATTCTCCAGAGCAGAAGCCACGCACCTTCCCCGGGCACCCCCTGCAGCCTGCCCCGCTCTCCGAGCACTCTGTGGCCAGTTTGAAAGCAGTGGCCTCAGCCCAGAATGCTTAGCTTGGCCCCCAGCCAGGCTAGCCACGGGGCAGGAAGGGGCACTTACTTGGGTTTGGACTGCCTGTGGCTCTCCAGGGGGCTCCTCATCCTCAGGAATGTGGGGCATGGCAGCCTCCTGGCTGGAGTGGTTGTGTATGCCTGGAACCTCTGCTGTGTCAACCCCAAAGATGCTCCAAGAGGCTTGGGCTCCGCAGCCTGGGGAGATGCCAAAAGGACAAGTCAAAATCCTTCCCATCCCTGTCCCAAGCTGGGTTCCATTTCCAGGATCCAAGAGCTGCAGACAGGCTGCTTGGGTTTACATCAACACCGGAGGTCAGGCAAGGCGAGGCTGGGAGCGGGCATTGGGAGTTGCATCGTCTCCTGCTCCCTGACTTTGTTTACACAGGCAGGGGTGACCTTTTGCATCTAATTTGGTCCTTACAGTAAACATATCTATTCCAGAACAGAAACATTCCAGCTCCTCAAAGCTATAGCAGAGGGAAGACGCTTCGCTGAGATCAGATACCATCTGTACGCCCTTTATTGCACTCCTACCAGCTGCATGGCTGCCATTAGCAAACTGACTCCCTGTGGTGGCCTTGGGTGAGGGTGGGCATCGATAGTTCTGTTCTATAGGCGAGGGAAGAGCCTCTCAGGGCGGAAGTTACGTGTCCTGAATCACACAGAAGTGTTTGCATCCATTGATGCCCATGGCTCTTTCCTCTGTACCACACATCCTTTCCTGGGTCTGCCTCCTCTTCATGGGGAGAACAAGACAATGCCATTAACTGAGTAGCCACTGTTTCACCCTCACTAGGTGAGTGGCTGCTGGCTGCTAGAGCCTATAGGAAAGGCCAGAAAGCCCTGCTGCTTCCCATGACATAAGATCTCCTTCCTGTCCCAGAGACAGGGTCTGGAAAGTTCCCTAAACCAGGGTGCCGCAAACCAGGCTGATACCTGGCATCTGCTCCACCACCCTCTGGATCCGGCTCTCCAAGGCAGGGAAGGTGTCTGATTTGTTAGGAATATTCAAAAAAAACATCAAAAATTGGTGGTTTAAAGAATTTAAGCCACGTTTGTGTTTAAAGAATTGGAGACATTTAGTTCAGGAGCTGTCAAAGCGGGCACTGTCCTGGCTTTTGTCTTTTACCCCAATAGGTAGCCCACTCTACATTGAAACATTTGGGGAGACCCCTGCTGGTCATCTTGGAAATCTCATCTCAACTAGGCCATTTATACACAGAACTTTTGTTGTTGTTTAAGATTGGGTTTGATGTACCCCAGGTTTGCTTTGGACTCATTATGAGGCTGACGGGTCCTCTTTTCTCCATGTCCCAAGTGCTAGGACTCCAGGCGTGTACCACTATGTCTGGCTGGGTCATTCATTCTTTCTTCACAAACTTTACATTAGGTCTGTGACCTGTGCTGTGACCCGAAGAGAGACAGGGTACAGCTTTGGCCCTCATGGGGTCTCGAGCCCGGTGTTGGGAGGCAACTGAAAAGCTGTGATTGGCATAAACACTTCAAAATGAGGAATCATAAGACCTCAAGAAAGAGCCCCTGACTATGCAGACTGGGAGAGCGACGTGGTTTCGTGGTCTCGCTCTGTGTTGCGAGGGCCACTGGAGCTGAGCCAGAGCTCAGAATTGCTAATGGAACTTATCCATTTGCAGAATAGCCCGGGGCTGAGCAGGGTAGATGAGCTGGCAGGGAAGAAGCCACACTGGGCTGGGCTCCAAGCAGATTTATCTTGACTTCAGAGACTAAGAGCTGTGGGGCCAGGCCACTGTGTCTTCCATCCCCCAGAGACTACTGGATGAAGGAGCTGAACATTAAGGCCCCCAAAAATGAGCTCTCTGGATAATCTCATTACCTTTACTTAGACATTAATGTCAGCAGCCGTGGCAACAGTAGTGCATTGTCACGGGGAAGCTGGCACATCTTCTCCGGCAATGTCATTGCCTTACCCCTGCAAGGCCAGCCCATCTTAATAGGAACAGTTTCCAAAGTATGGGAGGCAGCCATTCCGCTTTCTGTTTGTGTCTTAATCTACACAATGCCTATTGCGTGCTGTCAATCAAAGATTCAAACAAACCAGACCATGTACAGAAAAGAGAAGATTCTAGGAGGACAAGAATTTGCTGTTATGAGCTCAAGACTTCAGCCTGGGCCAAAGAAGCCGCAAGGGAAAGTGATCTCTTCTCAGATAGCTGAAAGGTAGTCATAAGGCCCAGGGTCTCCAAAGGACAGGTGTGCCAAGGACCCATCAGTCAAGTGAGAAGGCAGAGGAACCATTTCTAGAGTCAGCTAAAAATGGAGGACAATACTCGGCAAGGTCAAGAGTTTCTTGTTCCTGGGGGACTTTCAATACTGGCTGACTTTAGGGGTCATGGGAATTCCAGTCACAGCAGTGGCCTTTTCCAACTCTGAAGTTCCAGACTCTGTCTAGTCACAGCCCATAACAGGGATGCTCCCAGACCAGGACCCATTCGGAGATCCTAGAATTAAGTCAAACCAGGAATATCCCATTTCTAACCCTCCACTGTTCGTTCTTGAAGACAGACCTTTGCCAGTCATTAGGCAGAAACAAAACCTCATGGACGCGGTCAGACACACCTGGAGATGCTGGCTGCAGCTGGATGGAGGCTGCCTGCAGGCCCATGGTTGAACAAGATGCAGTCCATGCGACTCCAGGGGAGCCCTTGCAGCCCTGCTGCGGGCCATTCCCATGCTGCCCGGGCTCCATGCACTTTCCCACCCATTATTATAAACTCTCTGCTTAAAATAGCAAGGCGAAAGCCAGTCCAGTCGGCAGGGTGACATCTGGGGGTCTGCGGGGACTCACGGGCGTGTGGACCTCACATCCGTCAGGGCATGGTTTGGAATACAACCTCCAGGAAGCCACACTCTGAGTGCCAGCCCATAAAAGGAGAGAATACTGAGTCACGTCTGCCTCCTTTTCAATCCACTTCCAAATATTTCCTGATGCTTCTCCAGCCAGGTCAGGTTAAGTGAGTCATGCCAAGAACCAATCAGTTCTTTGGATTCTTACCAGCAGTTAAACAGAACCTGGCCCATTTTCCAGGGAAGAAAACTGAGGCACAAAGAGGAGAAACAAATAAGACAGGGTTCAGTTACCTTTGTAATATGGTAAAGGACCCAAGAGCTCCTACTGGGATAACCATCCAGTCATTTGTGCAAGTGAAGAGGCTAGACAGCCCCGAACTATCCTAAGATAGTTTACCTACTTCATGAAAGAAAGCAGACAATATTCCTTTGTCACCCACAAATCAGTTCCCCTACTGGGTGTCGCACACTACTGTGTACGATCAAGTGCTACCTTCGTGCTAAACCCCTATGACAGAGAGGGTGTGTTATTTAGTTTTGCTTTGTGTAATACTGGGAATTGAACCCAGGGCCTTGAGCATGCTAAGTAAGTACTCTACCACTGAGCTGTAGCCCAGCCCTTAGCTGTAAGTTTGATTTCTTTCATTTAATGTAATAAAGAGCCAAAGCTCAGAGATGATCAGCAAGGTCATGAAGTCATGAAACTGGTAAGCCTGAGTCCAAAACATCATCTTCTCTCTTACCCAGGTACAGCCAAAGAGTCTTGTGCAAGCCCCTCTCCAGCAGGAAGAGCTGGGGTATAAACTCCCAGAGGCACAGAGAGGAGGGAACACTGAACCTTTGGTGGTCAGGCCAAGCGTCTTCTGAAGATAAAGGAAGGTGCCCAGCTTAGGGAGATGACTCAGTGGGTAAAGGGCTTACCACACAGCATGAGGGCCTGAGTTCAAATCTCCAAAGCCCATATAAAACTGAACGTGACAGCAGGCATATGTAATCCCATTGCTCCTAAGGAGGTGAAGACAGGAAAATTTAAAACACTAGTAGGCTGCCATGCCTGCTGTATGTAGCGTGAACAGAAGATCCTGCTGCAAAAGAAGTGGAAGACTAAACTGATGTCTGAGGTTGTCCTCCGACCTCCAAACATGAGTTGTGGCACGTGTCCACCTGCCCAGAGAAGGCCACAGCTTACAGTTTCATGCTCCTAGTACGTGGTGTGGCCATGTGTTCGTTCACAGCAGAGGTAGCAGCCCCTTCATTGACCTTACTTTTTACTCGTCCAATCACACAGAGTGCAGAGACGTGTTCATTGAACCACTCAGGCCGAGAAGCCTCACACTAGCTCAAAAGCATAGGCTCTGTCCCAGAAGAGCTTCCTTAGAACCCTGTGGGCTGTCTGAGGACAGGCAGGACGGCAGGAAGGCAAGAGGCTCTGGCAGTAGAGGCCGCATACCTTTATTCTATTCCCAGCAGCCATCGGGGCTCCCTGTGCTCATTGTCCTGGGGAAGCTGATGGATCTCGGGTAGACAAAGGAGACTCGGCCCACCTGGCTGCTGTGCCTCAGCAAGTACCAGGCTGTCTAAGGAGTCTGGGAAAAGACAGGAATCGTCTTTCCAGAAACACCTTCAGTGCTCTGGGCCTCCCTGGGCCGTGGTTATGGAAGCACCGACACTGGTAACACAATTAGTTCAATTGGGCTGGTGACAGAAGCCTGAAGGTATCATCCAGGAATTGCAGTGGCCAGCATGCCCGGTATATCTGCCTGACTTTGTAGGTCACTGTGGGGCCAAGCCTGCTGGCCTCTCTCAGAGCCGTGTGGCCTGACCAGAAAAGATCAAACCCCTCACTTGAGTCGCCGTGTCCCAGGGGCATGGCCTACATGCTGTGTGGTTCTCACTGTCTCTGCTAATCTAGATGTCAGAGGAAGAGCCAAAAGGCCCTTAGGAAAGCAAGGGGTTAAGCCAGCCTCAGGGACCTCACTGGGGTGACTCAGTTTTCTGAGAAGGGAGGGTTTTGTTCTTAGGGCTTGGGACTTTTGCTTTCATTTAGCACCCAAAGAATGTAAGAGTGATTAGGGTGCTATTAATATCCAGCCTGGCCTCCCTCTGGGCAAAGGGCTGAGGCAGGAGACTGCTTGGAATGACTATACACACATCTCTCTTGGCATCTCCACAAATCCAGAGGGGCAGGAGGCTGCTTCCCCTGCTCCCACTCTTGTAGATGGGGTGCTGAGGCTGAGAGAAGGGCAGGGATTTGACCGAGGCCACATCCAGCCTCAGAAAGGGTTCATGAGTCCCTCCCTGCTCCTGGGATGTGAGTGGGAGGCTGGCCGAGGGCAGAAGGAAAACCAGCGCGAGAGCAGAGCTTCTTG